TTATAACCCTGAAAAAAATGAAGATAATTGCCACGTAATAAGTGTTAAACTGAGTTGAAATAACGCACAGTAGCCTGGTTGCTTTTGCCTACGACTCGCTCTTCTTATTTTTTAAGATTGTTTTTACGATGTTCACTTTAGGCATGAATATATAAATTCAGATGAGCATGGAAAAAGTTTTTAAACTTTATTCAGTCACACAAAGAATTGGAAAATCAAAAATGTATATGAATAGCGTAATATAGCTTTACTTTTTTACCGGAATTTGCTTCATTTCCAAATTCAAAAAAAAAACACACACACAAGGCCAAACAATATGCTGGTACAATTTCAAGAGAAAATCCCATGGTTCTAATGTCAAAATTGACAAAATCTTTTTATAGTTACAGAATCTTTTCATCAAGAGCGCAATGTTATCTGTACTAAAACACAACATAATTTATTAAGGGACCAGGCATAAACATTAAGCATATAAGACACACATGTTTAATTTAATATAACAACCAACATACAACCGAGTGCCTGTATCGTAATAAAATCTTCCAACTGTATACAGTAAGCAACGTTATGCTTATAATCACGATAATCACAGCACTAAAACATATAAATATCCACGTCCATGCAACTCGTTGCTTTTCATCTGAGACTGGGTAATGATCTATCACAAATTAAATATAACTATAAGAATTCAAAAAATTTTATTGGTCGAGAGCTATGATCTATAAGAGGACATACGCAAGGAATTGACGTCACAGAAATTACTTGTATTTAAATGACAAACGAACGGCGAAATTGCTGGAACATTTACCTGAATTTATCCTAGAATGGGCAAATGAAGACATTAAAAATACCGAGTTGAAGCAATCGACGTATTTGAGCAAAAAGAAAAGAAAAAACCCCGTTTGTAAACGATGATTTGTAAAACTACTGAAAACTGTTAATAACAAAATTTTAACAAAATTGACTAGCCAATGTTTGTTCATCTGTTAGCTAATCGCATTTAATCACGTGACTAATCTACTTAATACCAGTCAATACCATTTCTTCATTCCTATTAGATCATGTACTCGTGATATTTTTAAAATCAAGACTTTTCATTTTTCAAAGTGTTGGGGAACAAAGAAAACAAACTGTTGGACAGTTTAATTTGGTAATTTTTTCGTTTTTATTAGATAAAACAGCGGCTCGTGAACACTTTTTTAGTTCTGATTACAAATGACGTTATACCTGTGTATCTACTACTGTATTGACAACGGTTAAATGTTATCTATTTGTTAATTTAAAACTCTTTTATTGTGCAAATTGGTAACGTTACAACACGATACCAAAGTCCTTTTAAGAACTAATAAGAGGTAAAATAACAGTTAAATATGTGGGAGCCTACAGAAGTTGTCTGAGCCTTTGCAGCATACTTGGATGTTCTAACTTCTTTTATAAGAACTCTTGTAAACAAAAAGATAAGATTCGAAAGCATAAAATCCCACTTTCGGTCCATGCTTCCCGATACCCTCTTAAGCGTAAGGCACTAGAACACCGCATGTTAACGTTTTGGTAACCATTAATCAGTCAAAGATAATTTGCAAATCGATCTTAAATACATTTTAGAGGAAAAATTAGAACATTTGTATTAAATTTGTCTGTTTTGCATTATTGTTATTTTATAAAAGAAATAAAAGATTTTTTTTTCTCGGAGACATTTGTGAGAACTCTCGAGCAGTTGCAACCCTCAACCTTCGTTCATGGGCTTGCACTGATCTGCTCTCGAGTTCTCTCTAAAATCTCCTCGATTTGCATAAGCCTGTGCAAACACAGTAAACATCTTTTATTTACCACAGACTGGTATTCCAAAAAATTTAAATAAATATTATTTTTACCGATCTATATAGTCGTGTAATAAAGCGTTAAATTGTTGGGAAAAAATCGTGATGGAGCAGTATTTTTAAGAACTGTGTTCCACAATACATTGATTATTTTCACCGAGGGGCAAGGACATTGCTGATTGCTCTCAAAATCTATTAGTATGAGTAAGTTTAAAGCATGTATGATTTTAACACATGCTACTGTGGTTTAACTCACCCTGAAATAAAAATATGTTTCATTCTGTAAAAATTGAAAGATTATAGAACGAAAAGTAATTATCATGCGCATTGTTCTTATAATTTCATAGAAAAATATAGTCAACAGTAAGATATCGACGAAATTAACTTCACGGCCATTTCAGACTTTTCATCTTGATCTTTGGTTACCAAGGTCTGTGAGGTTGTTTAGCTGAAATTAAAAAAATTATTTTTGCCCAAAGTCGAGTAACTTTTTGTATATGCTGATCACAACCACATTTCTTCATTTTTTCGCTGTTATCCAGTCAGAAATTGAAACTTAACGCTTGTCTTGGTGCGTAAATTTATTACATACATGCATGGTATGTAACTATACTAACTGACGCGTAATACCGTCACTATTTGTTTGTTCTCATGATATAATATAGTAAAATTCATCACTGTAAACTTCGGAACAATGTCGTCATTTATTTCCTTAGAATCTATTGTTTTCACAGTAAGTAAACATCATGTGGTAAATACATAAGCATTAGGCGGCCAAATTTGCCAGATGGCTGCCCGGCTATGCCACAGATAATATGACCTTTGACCTGAAACCCTTGACCAAAAAGACATACGTTTAATGACCTTTGACCTGTCAGTCCAGAGAGTTTTAGACATATACATATTTATTATAAAAACGGCCTTTAATAGGTTATTTCTCGTGCTTCTTCTTTCAAATTTTCCTAACCAAATTTCCCAGTTTCAATAGAAACATTCAATAGCTTACTTTAACTGTTTATACTTACCGAAATGAGACCCATGTCACAACAACTCCGGTAATTCCAAGAATAGCCAAAAAGCTGATGACTATTATTATAGTTGCTTTTTGTCCAAAGTCTAAAATAATGTGTATAAAAATAGGTCCATTAGCAGTTTAGCACTTAACTTTCAGGTAAACGAGTCATTAAAATCAATCTCATAAAGTTAACTTAAGACCTTCTACTTAAAATTTAATTCAGACAAATTTCATTGGATGTTCAGTTCATGACAGTTCGTCGATAGATCGTTTGACGGTTGTTTATTTCAAAAAAGGCAGCCTCACAACTTCAACTGTCATTTTACCCTCGTTTTTGCAAACTAGCGGTTTGGATAAAATTACCATAAAAAAGGATTATTAAAGCAGACATAATTTATTTTAATATAATATACCAACATACCATCGTTTAAGTGAACAGATGGATTAATTTGATTTGTTGTAACCATAACTTTAGAATGATTTCTATTTATAGTCGGTATAGTCATGGAGATTTTGTTGTAACTAGAAGCTGGGAAACAGACAAAGAAAAGATGGACATAAATAGCAATCCTACTATACAATTAGAAAGCTAAAGCTACTGTGTAGGGGGTAAACCCATTTTAAACATTTTCGATTAAACAGAGGATGTAGACGTACCTAGTGATGCATATTTTTTATGAGATTGTTGATTTAATTATCGCTTGTTTTATGATTAAAGCAAGTATTCAGGAAATTATCTCAAGTTTTGTTAGTATTTCCTCACTCCGCGTTTTGAAGGGCCCCGATATAGCGAAGTCATTTTTTTCATTTGTATACCGCCTTATAATGTCGCTAAAGGACGACAGACATCTTAGCACAAAAAACTACATTGTAATTATTACATTATATTTATTGTTATTAGTACATTATACACATTACGTGGAAAGGTTGAGTGCTTTCGTCAGGTGTCAAATTGTCGTTTTGTTTTCAATGCCTGGTGATCGAGGTGGCCTCAATATTTCGTTCAGAGGGGCCCCATGCAAGTTTGATCCACCGCTGGCCCTCCTGTTATGAAAACCTAAAGCAACTGTCGGGGAAGGATGGGTAAAAATCCATTTTCAAACAGACGTACATGTGACAAAGTATCCTCACCAAAAAATTGATTTAAAATTGCTTAAATTAAAATTTACTAGGAATGTTTCGATTCCTAATGTTTTGCAAGCATTTTCTCAGGGCCTAGTTGAATTTCGAAATAAAAAAATGCGAAATTCTTTGTATTTCGCTGTTAACAAAATGTCCTACCTTTTGTAAATGAGGACAACGTTGGTGATGGTGACGATGCGTACCTGCTTTTAGAGGACGCTAAAATTCCATCAAGATATTGATGTTAGAAGTTAAATATACAACACAATAATTCACAACAAATACATAATTATTTTGTTTACATATGATAAACATAGTTACAACTGCATTGAGCACAGTATGTTAACTTGGGATAGAAACAAAGAAGCTGCGTGTACATAAGTTCATCAGCAGAAGTGAATAATATTTTTTTTATTTATACTAACTCTACCATGCATTGCAAGCTACCTATCTAAACAAATATAACTACTGATTGTTTAATGTGCCATTACAATAAGACATCGTATTGACATAATTCGTGAAATGAGCAAGAACAGAATAGGATTAATAGTATTTAGCTAAAATAGCAACCTTTGTAATCGAGTTTCCCTGAGGTAAAAGTTTGTCTTCATACAACGAGAATGAAATGTAAAACAGTCATTTGCATGCACCCTTAATTATAACCCCAAATGATAAATAATATGCACGAATTAAACTGTTGATTAGTTGATAACCATATATGTGTATAGATGTGTATATGTGTGTATAGGCGTAGGAAGTGGAGGGGCTAAGGGAGCTTTAGCCCCCTATATTAGCCACCGCTCTCCTGTTATAAAAATTTAAAGCAACTACAGGGGGAGGATGGGTAAAAATCCATTTTTAAACAGACGTACATGTGACAAAGTATCTTCGTCAAAAAAATGATTTAAAATTGCTTAGATTAAAATTTACCAGGAATGTTTCGATTCCTAAAGTTTTGCAAGCATTTTCTCAGGGCCTACTTGAATTTCGAAATAAAGAAAATGCGAAATTCTTTGTATTTCGCTGTTAACAAAATGTCCTACCTTTTGTAAATGAGGACATCGTTGGTGATGGTGACAACATACACTTGCTTTTAGAGGACGCTAAAATTCCATCAAGATATTGATGTTAGAAGTTAAATATACAACACAATAATTCACAACAAATACATAATTATTTTGTTTCCATATGATAAAAATAGTTACAACTGCATTGAGCACAGTACGTTAGCTTAGAATAGAAATAAAGTAACTGCGTGTACATAAGTTCATCAGCAGGAATGAATTCTTATGGTTTTTTATTTATCTTACCTCTACCATGGTCTACAAGCTACCTATCTAAACAAATATAACTACCAATTTCTTATCGTACCATTTACCCATCTAAACAAATATAACTACCGATTGTTTAGTGTGCCATTACAATAAGACATCGTATTGACACAGCTCTTGAAATGAGCAAGAACAGAATAGGTACAATAATATTTAGCTAAAATACCAAACTTTTTAATCGAGTTTCTCTTAGGTAAAAGTTTGTCTTCATACAACGAAAATGAAATGTAAAACAGTCATTTGCATGGACCCATAATTATAACCCCATATGATAAATAATATGCACGAAATAAACTGTTTCTTAGTTGATAACCATTATATGTGTCAATATGTGTGTATATGTGTGTATAGGCGTAAGAAGCGGATGGGCTAAGGGAGCTTTAGCTCCCTAAAATTTATATAGGGGCTTAGCTCCCCGAAAATGTGTAGGTTAACATTGATAAAATATAATGCATCTCATTCCCTATATTCTTTCCATAACTTGAATCATGGACAAACATACAGCGGAGCGCATTTATGGCTCATCATGTCAATGCAGTTGCAGTTGAAATTCAAAAAAATGTCTAATTGTCGGTATACAACCTATCTTTTTCGTTAAAACTTTGTCGCCAAGAATAATGAAAAAATCACCCAAGGCCTTGCCCATTGGGGTTGACTTGTGGCTGAAATGGCTCTCCAAAATCATACCTTCTAATTAACCGTTGTGTGAGACAAGGGGTTCTTTCAGAATTGTAGTGTTTGATGCCTTTTGGAAAAAAGTGTTGTACCCAAAAGCAATGATTTGAATTGATAGACCTTGATGAGAATGAACTAGAGCTCTGATTTGACCAAAAAAATTTATAGCTGTTATGAAAAGTTAAAGAACTTGTTTTAGATCCTATACTGCATGCAAATTGTTATGCAATTTACCAATCAGACAAAATTTAGGAACTCCCAGAATAAAGTAGAAATTGCCCAAAAGAATAACTATATATCAATGCTGTCAGAGAACCGCTAACAAGAACAAATCATGCACAATTTAAACATTATGAACACGTCCATAATGCTTGAATTAGCACGTTTTTCAACAACATGAACATCTTCGTCTTAGTCAATGTTTTACGGCAAAGCTCATGAACCTCTTTACACCAATTTAAGAGTACTGCTGACATCGGCCCATTTTTAACTCTTCAGAGAGTGAAAATTTGCAAGCTGCATTAATTCACAGTCTTAGTAACAGATTTAAATTGGGGGGAGTTGGGGCTGGCTAAATTGTGAAGAGTATTTCGACCCTTTTATAACCAGAACGTTTTGTGATACTCATTGCAAGCTACGTATTCTAGAACAATATTAGTAAGATTAAAATAATCTGTCTGAGTTCTGTGCCTAGGTATAATGTACGCTTTTATTCTTGAAGAGTCAATCATCGGATTAGGCCAGTGTCTTTCTGAAGTGGTGTAAAGAAGTTACTGCTTGGCCAGATTTATGCTAAAGACTGATTATCTATTTGGACAAATTTGAGCAAGCAAAACATAGTTCGTCTTCAAGTTCGTCTGTGTGTATATACACGGGCAAACTGACAGATCGTCCATCAAGATGCGTAGGAATTATTTGAAAAGTTTGTTTATTTAGACGAATTTGCATGGGTATTTTGACTTGACGCATCATCCTTCAGTAAATATAAATGTGGAAGGAGGACAAACTACGGAAAAAATGATACTTCGCAGTTCATAACTCGCTCCAAATCTTCCAAAGGCAGAATTGGACTTTGTGTGGTTTATTGATAGAAAGTTCGTCTCGTGTTTATACTTACTGACATTATTTGCGACAAAATTAAACCAAATAAGATAGAAAGTATATACAATATTTATAAATTGCGACAGAAACTGCAATAAAATGTTACAAGAAATTAAGATGCATTTTATTATGTCAATGTTTACCTAAATTTTGGGGGGCTATAGGCCACTCAGTTGCACCACCACCCCACCATCCTGTTTTATACGCCTTTAGAATCATCTTGCGTTAACACAAAGCAGTTATGCATCTGCCGATTCGTTTTTGGGACTGTATGCTATCCGATTTGTATGCACAGTCGACACACAATTTTCAATTTTGCTTATAACTCTTCCGATATAATTATTCTACATCACAGATAAACATTTCAAGCTTTTACATTCAAAGCCAGTGACAAAGAAGCCTGACTTTCAACATGTGACAACTAATAAAATTTTTTTATAAGTTCCTATTTCCGTTCTTTCATAAGTTTACAGTCTCGAATTACAATTACCTATTATTTTCCTATATAAGTTGCGACACTTGCTTGTTGCATTAATTATAGTATGAGTTGTAATGAAATACAACTAAACAATAAAGATCACTTCTTAACTTGCTACAAGTGCTGCGTTTATTTGAAGACGAAAGAGGCCATCTTATCAAGTCAGCCACTTAATTCATTTTCACCCCTCCAAAATTTAAATCTGTTCCTATAGGCCTATGTTTACGTGTAAGTTTATTTTGCATTTGTGCAGATATTTAGATAATAAAGTAATACTAATATAAGAGTATCCTCAAGTTCTAATTATTCAGGTAAGAATTCCTGCATTTCAAAAATATTACTAATACTATTTGTATCAAAATGCGTCTCTAAGTTTTATCAATAGATTGTAACAACTATACTGTTTAGTAAATTGCCTAAAGCACTTATCAAACGCAGCAAAATCATTCAACTTAAATTCCTGATAAGGCGAACTTACCTGAAGGAAGTATCGTCACATGATTGAAAATTGGTTTGTTTGGAGCCAAAAACACTTGTAGAAATACAAGGGTTTTTGTTGATGTTGAACATTTTGATGTGATGTTCAACAAGACATCATTCTTTCCTTGCATTTCTTTGGAAATTTTTGTCGTTTCTAATTTTATATCGGGGACTGTTTTGATAAATACCACAGGTCTTTGATGACCTGTGTATGAAACAATCCATGTCAAGATAGAGGGACTTTTTGATTCTTTTTTCGGTTGTGATTTTAAAATCATCTTTGAATCTAAAAAAATTCAAATTCAACTTGAATCAATGTGTGTGGTACATACAAAAATAGGTTTTTTACAAATGACTAACTTCCATCATATTTGGAGCCTTGCAATGAATGTTATAAAACTGATTAATTGCAACCCACACCTCACATTCTACCGTGGCAAATATTTATGCCAGCATAGTTACCTAGGTAGTTGATATGGGGGGATAGTTCAAATTGCTATTTTCCGTGCTCTCGCCTACCGCACATTAACAGAATGAACAAGCTAATGCTGCTATGATCGAAAAACTCTAATGAATAAAATTTTCTAATAAAGAACCTTTAAGTTTGTAATTTTTCAATTGAACAAGAAAGCAAATTTCTCTGTTTTTTGCATTTGGAAGCTTTTGAACGCAATATTGAAAAAGTCCGCAAATTTTGTTGTAACTAAATAAAGTAGAGATTAATGGATAGTGCAAAGTTTCTCAGAAAAAATGTTTCTAAGTATGGCAAATAAAATTAGTTTCAAGAATTCTTAGTATCGAACCTTGGACAGGGGCGGTCCAGGAGATTATGAAAAAGAGGGCCAAACTCTTTGAATTTAATTGAAAACGGAAACTATCCTGTCATTTTTTATTATCATTCAACTTTTTTGGGTTTTTTCTAGCAAGGGGCGCTGCCACTTCGCCGTTTGTTTCTTGACGAATAGCCTTAGACGTAAATAAACCTAAATTTCGTATTTGCACTTACATAGCGTATACATAACAAGGACATTTGGCACGCCACAATTATACATTCGTCATACATGAATCACATTCATTTTTTTTACTTTGCAGTATACAACTTAAAAATTTACAAAATCACTCATGATTAACTTTCCTTGTTTCGGTTATGTTGTATTTTTTGATTCTTTATAACATATGCGAAGCTCATGTGTTCGGAAGAATAAAATGCTTTGTTTGCGATATTTTTTAGCGCAAAATTCCACCTAATTAAATAATAAGGCAACGAGTAGTAAAATGCAACGGTATTCGACAAATATTTACGTAGTACAATATGCATCAGTTGATGAACAAGTCCAGTTTTCGGCAAGTTTGCGTGAATGAATATTCATTTCGTATTTGCAATTTCATAACGATTACATAAAAGTCAACAAATTGATGTCTTACATGACTCTCATATTGTTCTAAAGCACTCCACAACTAATGCTTTCTTCACGGACAGTAATAGTGCACTTTATTTTTCGTAAAATGTTTCTTACCGAGGCAGATGTGTGCCCAACTTTATGCTGTAATGCTAGTCATGCAGTAAATTCGAAATATACAAAACGTCGCAATTCAAGATCGACTTTTTTAAAATATATCACTGCCTTCCAAGATAAGTATTAACGTAGTTACGCAACTGCGTAAACTTATTTGAAACATAAAACACACCTTACATACCTAAGCCAATAAAGACAGAAGTCCAAACGAACGACATGTAGATGACCAATTGCTGTTTATAAAAAAAGTTAAATTTAAATTGACAAATAGAGCAAGCAATCACTGAAGAATTTTTCCAGTTCCATGTACGTATCGAACAATCAACGCAAAAACTCACCATTTTCAAGAGATTTTTCTAAAACAATTTCCTATACGTTTTCCTGCGTCAAAGCTCAAGCGAGAATGAGCAAATTTTTCTTGAAGGAGTCATTAACAAATTCTTTTCAAACCACTAAGGGTGCTGTGTAAATACAGGCGAAAAACAAGACGAAACATCAATATAGATTTCAAGACATTAAACTTTTGTACAGCGCAAGGTCATAGTTTATCTGATAGCTATTATCAAAACTGTTATCGGAAAATGTTGCTGCTTAAATAATTTGTAAGATATACGGGGTACGTAATTAGAATGCCATTAAGAATATTTCTCAGATCAATTTAATCAGAAACACCTTTCCACTCGCTACATCAGTGCTTAGTCACACAACTAAGAAAGTTCTTGAAGTAATACTGTCTAATTAAAAATATATTCCAGCACTCTAACCATTGTATGTACGTCTTGGTATAAATTTACATTTAAAATTTTTATTTGCTTTTATTTGCGCAAATCTTGTTTTTCTCAATCAATTCTAGTCAAAAATTGTGCCACAAGCATCGTGAAAATATAACTCCAAAAGACGTCAATTCGTGTAAATGTTATTGTGGAAACATACATACGGGTAAAATCAAAAGATTCTCAGTATAACAAAAGATTTTTCATTCCAAACTTCAAATAAAAGCTGCTGAATACCATGCAGAAATGGATAGTGGAGTAAACTTTGTAAAGAAAATCATTTCATATTGGGTGTTTTTGTGTACAGTACACATACGAATTATTTTGCTTATTTTATTTGACAAAAACAGTGCGATATTCTTTGTATTCATTAATTGCTTTTTATCTTGAAAATATCAAAAGCTCAAGGCAAAATCACTATCATAATAAAATTATGCAGTGCTTGTACATATACTGCCCCTCCTCCCTTTAGCACATTAAATCCTCATCACGCTTGCTAACTATTAATTTCAGGATATGAAAAATAAGGAAACAAAACAGGATGTTTAAAAGTTAGTTCCTATAAACAATATAAAACTGGCAATCTCAAGGATAGTGTAGTGGTACTAAAAGACGGAACTTTGTTTTTTGAACATTCAGATTTCATACCGAATATCTATGTAAAATACACAACATCGAAAAATTGACCCCTTTAAGGAATATGATTTCTATTTTAAGAACAACAATATGAAGCTTTTTAATGAGAGGAATTAACTGATGGGTGGAAAGAAGATTAAAAAAATAAAAGTTTAATAATTCTTTGAGGCTTTCATGGTTACTTGATAATTTTTTTATGACTTTACATCTTTTTTCCTTGACAAATAATCGTATCTTTATGACAAAGCGTCCAATGTACAGTGTAGTCACTGTAATATGAAAATAACGCGTTTAAAGTTAACTTTATAGAGATTTGAGAGACACAATTACACTGTAGAAAATATGCATCGACGACTTGCCAAGGTCACATAGGTAATACTGGCAGATATATCGTCATGGTTTACAATGACACGTTTGTAAGCAACTTGAAAACTTTATTGCTGACGTTTTATAGGGAACATTGTTTAATTATGGTGTGTGGTTTGGACCGCAGATTGTTTGTAGAAAAGAATCTGTTCTGGTTGGTAGTCGGCGAAGGTTGTTGAGATAATAGGTATAGAAAGTGCTCAATACCCTACCCGGCACAATTGCAAAGTCTTTTCTTTATGTTTGGCACTTAGAGTGATGTTGCTGTAATCGAGTAATCGAAGAAAAAGCTGGGCTGGATTGGATGTCTGCGTAAAAATGGTAATAGGCTCTAATTCATTATAGAAATCGTTCGCGCTGGAAATCAAGACACACATATAAAACGTTTTTGAGGAAAGAGATGACTAGGCAATAGTGGTGCAGATCTTTGGCTTGCAGAGAACTGGTATCTACACGTTGATAGTTACTTCTTATGTAAGTATAGTGTGAGTTAAGTAGAGGCGTGATATTAAGTAAAAAAAGCAGAAACGACATGATTTTTAAATCGTAAAACCAGTATTTTTTAAATCAGTTTTTTTATCAAAGAATTACATGTTCTTGTTAAGCAAGTATGCTTTGGGCTTTCTCCGTCATCTCTTCTCCGATTGATCCCAGTGTTCATCTCTTCTTCAAGTAGATCTGGTTCCTCGCCGTTTATTGATATATCCCAAATCTGTCGAGTAGTTCATCTGTGGAAGAATTCGTTTTCCTGTGAGGTGTAGGTCTATATTCAAATATGAGTGAATGGCAAGTAAGGATGTTTTCATTTTCAGGATAATGATATACATTTGCCATTCCCGGGAGTTCCAATGTCCTCTGGTGTTGAGAAATTGCTACCCAACCTAAGAACGATGCATCTGTTTCAATAGCAAAAATAGTGTTTTTCTGATCAAGAATCACTTCAATGCTTTTTTGTTGGCTTAGTACAGTTGCCCACGAGTTGAAGTCGGAGATCACTTCTGCTCTTAATGCACTGTCTTCAGCAGAAATTTCCGTATCATCCAAAGCGATGGAGCTGACAGTTCATGGATTGTTCTAGATGAGCTACTTTTGCCTTCAGGCTATGGGTTTCATGCAGCTGTAACCATTGTAAATGGTGCCATTTGACAGACGGTACTGATATGGTAATATGGTGGTGGACTTCAGCAATGCACAAAGATTAAGGATTTAGCAAACAGGTACCGGTGAACATTATCATTCATGATAATGAATCCTTGTTTTCTCAATTACTGGCACAACTACCGGATTTAGTACAATTGTAAATGCTCTGGGGGGGAGGGGGGGAAGGGTGGAGCCTCTCAAAAAGATGGGTTTACGGTAAAAACTATGGTAAAAACTGATCGGTTAAAATAACCATAAAAATTGGTTATCTCAGATGCATTTAAACTTTTTCACCAATATTTTTATGGTTATTTTAACCAATCAGTTTGTACAGTGTACCGAAAGTTAGATATTTCAATGCTGAACATAAAGCCTGTAGAGTATAGAAAAATATGCAAGTTGAAGGTCATCTTTCATCATAAATTCGTTGGGTTTCAACGTCAAACAACGAAACTGCACTGCAAACATTCCAATTTAAGTTTCTTTGGTAGGACCATAGGCATTCACAACCAGTCTCAAGCAAAAAGGAGTTAGGGCTGAAACAATTTGCCAAAAAAAATTCATCCCAAAGTTTTACAATGAACAACGCAGTAAATAAACCAATTTTTACGAAGCTGTGAGTTGTTTATTTAAAAAACTACAGATGTTTACTGTGTTTGCACAGATTTATGCAAACCAGAACGACCTTTGAATAACTCAAGAACGGATCAGTGCAAGCCCGAGGCCGAAAGTTGCACCTGCTCGAGAGTTCTCATAAATAGTGACGTAGCCAGCCGCAATAGTCGTGCTATGTAAATTTTTGATCATTACCATTATTTATTTTTTTAGAAATCTATTGTTTTTTCAGTGAGTTTTTATAGAAAAATAACGTAAGACGACCAAACTTGCGGGCTGGCTACGCTACTGCTCATAAAAATCTCCGAGGTTTGCATAAGCCTATACAAACACGAAAAACATCTTTTATTTCTATTATAAAATAACAATAATGCAAAACAAACAAATTTAAAACGGAATTTTTTATTTTGTCCTATAAAATATATTCATGATTGATTTGAAAATTCTCTTTGAGTAATTGATTTTTTTGGTTGAGCTCAGAGCTTACAGGCTAATGCAAACACGGCTATAGACCAATCACCGCACGCCTTTTGTTGTGTTTATTTTAAAGTTCCAAATACTTACAACATTTACAATTGGTTTATTAACAAGAAAACGGCAGAATTCATGTCACCCACAATGGAAATACGAATCGGATTCTATGAAGTCTTTCAGAAAAAGTCTGTCACTGCGAGTCAATTTACATTATAGTTGAAAGATACAGGTATTGCGAACTTTCTGTTAGCTAAAATGTCGATTCACAGGCATTAGTGACTACATTCTTTAAAAAAATCAGTACCTCGGGTCAAACCGAAAATGATAGAAAAACTATCATCCCAATAATTTCAATCTTTTCTATTTTCTTAATACATCGAACCATAACATTGGAGGAACAATTATGGAATCAGTTAAAAAAAAATTTCACTTTGTTTTCAATGTCAACTCTCCAATCAAAACCCAAAAGTTAGAAGCACTTACGTCCCATAGTTAACAACTGGCATAAAACGTGAAATGAAACAGAGCTGATAAATAATGAGAGGTTAGGAAATTGTACAGTAAGACTGAGTAAAAAGTGGAACTTATCCCTTTAAGGTTCACTCAAATTCAAAAAATAGCCCAAAGCCTTTAATTGTAGCTGGTCTTGATAAAATTCCTAAAATATTATTAAAAGATGCTGCAGCTACCTTTCTGAATATTCTTTTCTATCTATCTCATCATAAGGAAAGTATCTAAGCGATTGAAAAAAAGCTAGAGAGTAGATGTTCCCCTATTTATAACCCTGGAAAAAATAAAGATAGTTGCCACGTAAATAAGTGTTAAACTGAGTTGAATTAACGCACAGTAGCCTGGTTGCTTTTGCCTACGACTCGCTCTTCTTATTTTTAAAGATTGTTTTTACGATGTTCACTTTAGGCATGAATATATAAATTCAGATGAGCATGGAAAAAGTTTTTAAACTTTATTCAGTCACACAAAGTATTGGAAAATCAAAAATGTATATGAATAGCGTAATATAACTTTACTTTTTTACCCGAATTTGCTTCATTTCCAAACTCAAAAGATAAAACACACACACACAAGGCCAAACAATATGCCGGTACAATTTCAAAAGAAAATCCCATGGTTCTAATGTCAAAATTTACAAAATCTTTTTATAGTTACAGAATCTTTTCCTCGCGAGCGCAATGTTATCTGTATTAAAACACAACTTTATTTATTAAGGCGCCATGCATAAACATTAAACATATAAGACACACATGTTTAATTTAATATAACAACAAACATACTACCGAGTGCCTATATCGTAAAATCTTCCAACTGTATACTGTATGCAACATTAGGCTTATAATCACGATAATCACAGCACTAAAACATATAAATATCCACGTCCATGCAACTCGTTGCTTTTGATCTGAGACTGGGTAATGATCTATCAAAAATTAAATAATAACCATAAGAATTCGAGAAATTTTATTGGTCGATAGTAATGATCTATAAGAGGACATACGCAAGTAATTGACGTCACAGAAATTTCTTGTATTTAAATGACAAACGAACGGCGAAATTGCTGGAATATTTACCTGAATTTATCGTAGAATGGGCAAATGAAGACATTAAAAATACCGAGTTGAAGCAATCGACGTATTTGAGCAAAAAGAAAAGAAAAAACCCCGTTTGTAAACGATGATTTGTAAAACTGCTGAAAAATTGTCGATAACAAAATTCTAACAAAATTGATTAGCCAATGTTTGTTCATCTGTTAGCTAATCGCATTTAATCACGTGACTAATCTACTCAATACCAGTCAATACCATTTCTTCAATCCTATTAGATTATGTACGCGTAATATTTGCAAAATCAAGACTTTTCAATTTTTCAAGTGTTGGGGAACAAAGAAAACAAACTGTTGGACAGTTTAGTTTGGGAAATTTCTATTTTATTAGATAAAACGGCGGATCGTGAACACTTTTTAGTTCCGATTACAAATGACGTCATACCCGTGTATCTACTACTGTATTGACAACGGTTAAATGTTATCTATTTGTTAATTCAAAACTCTTTTATTGTGCAAATTGGTAACGTTACAACACGATACCAAAATCCTTTTAAGAACTAATAAGAGGTAAAATAACAGTAAAATATGTGGGAGCCTACATCTGTCAGTTGTTGTACTGCGTGATAATACTATTTCGATTAGTCTGTTTTTAACATCCCCAACACTTATTTTTGGAAAAAATAAGTGTGTTGAATGACAAATCAACGAGAAAAGGCGTTTCTACAAAAGTGGAACGTGAATCTCGATATACTACAAGTCGCCATTTTAAAAGCTCAATTCTCTTCAAACTTTTGTACAGAGAGAATGTGTATACAACTTTTTTCAAGAAAGGTCCAAGCCCATTTGCAGCAGGTTCGTTGATGTTTTTTATGTTAAATTAACATTTAATAATGTCGTACAAAAACCTTGCATCTTCAACTGACATTTTGCAAAGGTGTTTTATCACGATAACAACGGACAACTAAAGCAGACATAATTTATGTTAATATAATATACCAACATACCATCGTTTAAATAAACAGATTGATTTGGTGCAACCATAACTGTCGACTGAATTTTATCTACATGTGACGTCGTCGTTGAGATTTTGTTGTAATCAAATGCTGATGGAAAGTCGTATATAAATAAAGCATAAAGACTAGGATACAACTAGCCTTCCTGTTATAAAACCTAAAGCTATTGTAGGAGAAAGCAATTGTAGGGTGAGATAAAAATTCATCCTTAAAATGACATATAGTGACAAATTATTGTGCCAGAATATTGATTTATTATATTTGCTAAGATAGTAATTTATTAGGAAACTTCTCAAGGTTTTGTGAGCCTTTTCTCAGAGCTCAGTAAGTTATTGAAATAAAGAAAATTCGAAATTCTTTATACTTCACTGTTAGCAAAATGTCCTACCCTTTGTAAATGAGGACATCGTTGGTGATGATGATAGCGTGCAGCTCCTTTTAGAGGACGCTAAAATTCCATCAAGATATTGATGTAAGAAGGTAAATATACAACAAAATAATTCACAACAATATTATTTTGTTTCGAAATGATAGAAATAGTTACAACTGCATTGATCACAGTATTTCAGCATTGGATAGAAACAAAGTAGTTACGTGTACATAAATTTATCAGCTGAAGTGAATTTTTTTAGTTTTTCATTCATACCACCTTTACCAACCCTACATTGACCGGCATCAGTCAAAATTTTAACGTTGTTACCAAGATAATAAAGCTTAGATAATAAAGCATATATTGATGAATGAAACAAATAAACAAAAATGTGCGCAACGCAAATTAGACAACATGCGCGAAGACTACAACTGCTTGTACATTTATTGTAAAATTAATATTCTCTAACCACTTTCTGATCGATACATTGTTGAGGCCATTAAAGAAGGTGTTGGCAACATAGATGATCCTAATTTTGGTTCAACAGAGTTTTGGGCTTGCAAAGAACCAGACATACCGCCTATATAATGAAGTAGCTATATTTAATTTCTTAATTTATATGACAACGTAGACACACTTTTATCATAAATATGACTTTACCCTTTGTCCATGAAGTAATCAGGCTGCTGGAAGTATATGTAGCTATAAAAATGAATAAACCTTTCAAATTTAAATTTAAAGAAAACTTTTTTGTTATGCATGCACAACTATATACGCATGCAGCATTTCCAAAACAAAATCAAAATGCAATGTTTATGAATAAAAATACTAAGAACTAAACTTCGAGGGTTCCTGGCGCTAGAAATATAGAAAAATCGACTATTTCGACTTATTGTTCAAGTGCAGTTTGCATCCCTTTTTTAAAATATCAATGTATATTTTTACAATTCATGATCATCAATTACAAACGTGCAGATCTCAAAAAACTCCGAAATGTTTTACTTAACATTGATTTTAAAATCGTCGTATAAATCTTTGTTTGACACTGAATGCGTTAAACGGTTAAAGGCAAATATCAACAAACAATCATTCAAACGAAATTATATTACCACAATCGTTGCCGATTTTAACTGTTCATAAAATGAAGCCATTTGGAGAGTCAATCATGTTTTTCTCTGAATATACTGTGAATAATATATACAGATTTGATATTGCCTGTCAAAACTTTGTTGGTGGAATAAACAGGCCGATGGAAAAAGCAGGCTGTCTACATTCCCAAGAGGCTAATTACTTCTAGAAACGTCATGCAAAGTGCTATAGAAGTGCCATATGACATTAAAGACAAATAAACGTAAATTACCTTTTAATTCATGCTTTTTTTTGTTAGGCACCGCAAAATTATATAAAAAAATTATATTAAATAACATTATCACTGGCAATCATTTGACATGCTTTATCGAGTGCTGGTAGTTTGATCAGAAAAACATGCACACAAATGCCCTAATATAGTCATAGAAAAAAATTTTCAGAAGATTTGGATTATCCGTCACAGCAACGCTATTTTTTTGTCCCACTTCACTGCACAACCTGGTGCTGTATATTTAATTAGATTACTGGCCGTGGATAGTCATCTCTGCCCTCCTATTGGTCGGAAAATGCAAGTTACTGGCTGCCACTATATTAATCACATGCGTAATAAGTTATGTGATACATAAAAAATTTCAACAGAGTGGGACTATTACCTCTATTTTTTAAAAAATTGACTCTTCCCAGTACTACCAATTTATTTAATATAAATATATAAGCCATCAATTCTCTTACATACCGTTACAACACGACATCGTATTGACCAATAATGAAGTAACTTCCCCTGACAACGAAATTAATGATTCTAGAAACCATTAACAAATTAGCAAAACTGTAAACAAGTTAATAACTACGAAAAGCAGTTTTAGTACATCACTATACATATACAAACATGAAGTACTGGCGTCTTCACATATGAGACGACAAAAACTTAGTCAACAGAAGTAAATATTACAATTCAATTTATAAGCGACTGAAACAGTAGCATAGCGAGCCAGCAAGTTTCGGTCGTTTCAACAATGTAAATTTTTAAACAACATCATTATTCATTTCTTTAGACATCTATTGTTTATGCAATGAGTGAACACAGAAAAACAAGTAATTATTTTCTGCTCCTTGACCTCGGCTTTGGTTATATACTTAATAGATCAAGTGGTACGATTCGTTTTTTAATAGAGCCTGCAAATGGCCATCCATCAACCGTACATTTTTTTTCCATCAGACAAAATTCCAACGTTGTTCCCAACAAGAAAGTCTATTAACGGTTTAAAGAAGTAACAAAAAATGTATGCAATGCAACGTGTACGATGACAAGAACTGCTCGTACATTTTTGTTTGATGGTAAAAAATAACTTTCTTTCCACTTTTTGATACATACATAGATACATATTTAATTTCTTGATACAGCTACAACGTATAGACTCACTTTTGTCATAAATATGACTTTACCTTTTATCCATGAAGTAACCAGGCTGCTGGAAGATGCAGCTATAAAATATAAAAATAAAACATTTTTCAGTTTAAATTGAATGAGAAGAATGAAAAAGTTTTGGCATGCATGTGTCAGAGCATTTCTAAAACAGAATCAAAATGCAAATCTTTTAAACTGGGAGAGTTCCTGGCGCATTTAATACAGAAATATCGACTATTTTCATTCACATTTCAAGGGCACTTAGCATCTTTTTTAAATATCAATATTTATTTTTTACTCTCCTATGAGCTCTGGGTGGGCAGAACCATGGACACCCAAGCATTTAGTTTGCAAAGGGGGTAACCTGGACGGTGTTATTTATAAAAATAAAGATAAAAAAGTAAGTTTATATTTAGCCTAGTTAACGCATTGAATATTTTTCATTGAAACTCATTACTGAAATCGTGTTTACGGTAGTAAGTGGAAAGTTCTACAAATGTTTTTTTTTCAGCATATGAATTGAAAACCAGTTAGTATTGTGTTCTACTAAGGATTATTAAGAAAATGTTTATGTTGCTTAGTTGTCAGAGTTAGACGCAGTGGGCACTCAGGGGTGAGCGACACCTAAACCTAAAATGACAGCGGGCAGCCTAGTTGAACTGACGCCACTGGATTTCGGGGCTTTGGCTGTTCATAAAATGAAGTGATTTGGTAAATGGATCATATTTTCAAATAAATATACTGTTAATCATATACACAAATTTGGTATTGTCAAAACTGTTGGTGGGAAAAGTTGCATATCTCTAAATCTTCATTTATACGACTGACACGATGCTAATTACTTCTAACAAAACGTACAGAGAAATTAAGTAATCGAGTGCTAACAGCGCCATGTGAGACCATAGACAAATAAAAGTAATGTGGTTTGTTGCAACTTCGGTTTGATTCGTGCATTTTTTTTCTTGTAATTCTGTTGAATTATAAATAATTCATTAATAAAAAGATCTATTTAAATGGAAATCATTTGACATGATTATCGAGTGGTAAATTTTTGATCAGAAAACGGCACAATAATGCTCTAACACAGTCATAAAAAAAGATTTGCAGATGATATGAATGGTCCGTGACAGTGCAGACATCATTTTGTACCTCCACTGTGCGGAAGGCGCGAAGTAACAAACACTGACCTGTAACTAAAATTGTGATTCGTGAATAATAAAAGGGAAAATCAACTCTCCGTCGGTAATTGTCCATGATAAATAGTTTAGCCAAGACTTGCCATCGGTTGTATTTAATGGAGATGTTATTTATAGTTATGCTTGAGAAGGTCGAATTCATATATGAATCTTCAACTTTGTTAGTTATTCTTATCAACAAACCATGAAAAATCATAGAGCAAATTATAGTTTTATTAGCCGACCATGTTACGGAATAATCCTCAGGCCAGCTTATATTTCCTTTACAATCATACGAAAAACTAAGAGTCAAGTTTGACCCCAAAGGAGCATAAACAAAGTAATTTTGAGGTGTCGTAGTTATGCGACATGGATCTAAAAGAGATAAAAATAATCGATGAACATTTAGAAAATTGTCCGAGAAAAAGTTGTCGGAATTGCTGTGGAATAAGGGAATAAGTAACAAACATTAGTATAAACAATGAACTGCCAGTAGTTGTGTCTTACCCGATCTTACTAAACTGCCATTCGCGTACACAAACTTCACAAAAAACACACCAAAGAAATATTTCGAAACTGGATGTGTAAACATAAATAAATCTTTTATTCCGTTGCTCAAAAACTTAATTGTCTTCAAGCTAAGAAAAAGAATTGAAAGTGTTAAAGTTAGTTCCATCAAAAAACATGTGTATGTCGTACAGCATAATGGCAAGAGTCACAGACAAAAAGACAAGTTTGATGAGCGAAAGAAGGCTTTCAGATGAGGTTAGTTTTAAGGTACGTTTACGTTTACACAAAACGATTTGTCGGGCCGATACTGACGCAATATCACGTGATTCTTGCTGTATACGTATGCATGCAAAAAAACAAGAAAAAAATGTTAATTCAGAATTGCGACTACCAGCCTACTTGTGCTGTTCGACTATGCCTTTGATTTCTGTAGTTTTAATTGTCAGTGAAAACTATTAAATCCAAACATATAATGCAACAAGTGCTAACTATAACAAATAAAGAAGATAACTCTTTCATTAGTTAGTTCATAGTGATTTAACTGGTTTTGAATAAATGGGGGTACTTTTAAACATTAATGTTCAAATACTGTACACATGGATATAGACAATTCGTAAACACTTATCCCTCTCAATTCTTTATCTAACCTAATAAAGTGGTGTGTTGAAGTCAGTTCGGTTGATTGTGTAAGGTTGCAGAGCCAAACGTTACGTCATTGAATGCAAGTCTTTTCCCCAAATGTTTGTAATCTCCAAAGCGTACTCGATCAGTTGTCTATACTTCAAGGGGCGGTGGCACGAAGCCAGGATAGCGTTATCCACTGGATAGCAAGTTTTTTTAAACTTTTATAAAAATATTAAAAAAGTATAAGGTTCGAACTGAATGATCACAGAAATAAAACATTGTTTCGAAGATTAAAAAATTTTTTTGTCGTATGAAAAATATAAACACCATTTTTACAAGTTTAAAATTTTTGCTATCCAATGGATAACGCTATCCAGGCTTTGTGCAACCGGCCCCTGAGCAATAATATTCGAGTAATAACAAGCGTTTGTGTGTATCGAATTTTCAAAATTAAAAAGTATGTGTACTTTTTAAATCTACGGTTTACAAGCCTGATATTTGATATTGATAAATCGAGCAGCTTATTCATGACCATGCAAATTACGCTCGCTTGACAAAGATTGCAATATGTTGGTGAGATTTCCGGAAAACTAACAAAATTCCGTTGACGTTTTTTTTACATATTAGCAAGTTGACACAGCGTGCTGTATTTTTTTTAAGTAAACGACATATACGCTTTATGGAAATTACACACATTATTCACAAATAATATACTTTAAATGTTCAACTATAGTTATACATCGTATTTATTATACATCACAGCTTTACTGGTCAGGCTTCAAATAACAAAAAATGTAACGGCTATCAGCCTGCTCATGAAGTTCAACTCAACAATGCCACTGCAGGCATTGCTGCATGCAAAATATGGTAGTCAGTTTACTCAATTGTTATTGAAGGCTTATGAAGGGATCATATTTAATCTGTACTCATATTCTAACAAATACTAACTCTAACTAATGAAGAAAATAACTCTTTCTTAATTTGGTTCATAGTGGTTTAGAATAACTGGTGGAACATTTAAGCATAAATTTTCAAGATGTAGACAGTTACGTAAATATTTATCGCTCTCAATTCTTAATCTAGCCCAATCATGTGGCATGGAGCGGTTAGTTCAGTTGACTATGTAAGCTGCAACGAATAGTTTAACAAAACACTAACGTTAAAAAACATTGATCGTCCGTTAAATCAAAATGCACTAAAATGAAACGTTTCCCACGACCTTCCTTGTTAATTTGCTATTCATTGTCCTGATTAAAATTACCTACCTTGAAAGCCAGTAGCAAAGCATACATTCAGCAATAAAAACGAACGCGATTAGCTTATTAAGAATTATAATTCAGTGGTAACATCATCACCTATATTTGTTTGAAATGCAAGCCTCTTTTTACCGTTGAAATTGAATTGAAGGCAATGACATAATCAGCCGTAGAAAGGTATTTATAACATGATTATTCAAAGAAAAATTCTTAAGTTCACCTTTTAAAGAAGTAATATATGAAAGTTGCTTCGAAGCTCAATCTAATTCAATGAATTTATTGAATTGGTACTTCGCGACATCCACTAGACTGCCACTTCGCCGTACTTGGTAGCTCATGTTTATTAACGTTGGAAACATGATAAATTGAGTCACGTGGGTTGTTGGCAGTAAACCTATTGGTTGAATTATAGCAAATGAGCAATGTTGCACTGCCTAGTTATCAATGAGATAAATGATGAGAGATGGAATACTGTTTTTAAAACTAAAAAGATTTTTTATTTTGTAAGATGAGAAGACCAATTTGATTTTTAAGTCAACACAGAAGCGTTTTGTTAACTTCCGTAGTTTTTGTTGAGTGTGTGTTAGCATGAGCCAATGTAAGGAAGTTTGAAATAGTATATGTTTGTTTTGGTTAGGTTCATCTGATGCTTGTGTGTCTGATTGTATTTTGTCGTTGAATGATTGGATGACTTTGTCTATGAAATGGACAGGAAAAGAATCGCGTTTTAACGTTTCAATTAGTGTGTTTATGTCATTTTGCAGCCGTTTGTTGTATTGTTGATTCTGTGGATGCGTTCAAGGAGAGTTTTTATAAGTCCTGTTTTATAATTACGTAGTGTAAAACTAAAAAAGCTCATTAAGAGTCCAGTGTAAGTTTTCTTGTGAAAGACAGAAGTTATGCATTTGTCTGAAGTTGTGTCTTTAGTGACTGTAAAGGTAATTTTTGTGTGTTGTAGGTTTAAATAATTAAGGAATAATGAGGCGTCGTTTTCGTTGTCAAATATACAAAAAATATCTTTTACGTAACGTCTGTAAAAAAGTACGTTTGGTCCGTCGTAGTTAGTTAACCAATTCTTTTCATGATAGCCCATGAAGAGATTGGCAAGTACTGGTGCCAGTGGAGAACCCATTGCCACCCCGTCAGTCTGGTCATAAAAGTGTTCGTTAAAGAGAAAGTGGGTTTGTGATGTAGCGATGTTGAACAATTGTTTTAAGTCATATCTGTTGATGTGAAAGTTGGGTTGTTGTGTAAATAATAAGTCGAGTGCGATGTATATTGTTTCAGTTAGTGGAATGTTAGTAAAGAGGCTCTTGACATCAAAGGAAACGATATGTTTGCTGTTGATGTCTTGGTTGTTTAGTTCGTCGATGAAGGTGAAAGAGTCTTTAGTGGTGTAATCGTTGGGAACTAAAGGGCTAAGTAACGAGCATAAGTATTTCGATAGTTTGTAGTTGTAAGAGTTAATGGAAGAGACTATTGGTCTTAGTGGAGGTGGTGAGGTCTATTGTGCTGTGGTCTACGTGTTTATGGAGTTTAGGGAGGCCATAGAACCTTGCTGGTTGTGAGCCTGAAGGAAAGATCTTGGAATAGGTGTTGTTGTCAATAGAGCCCTGTTTTTTGAGTTTCCTAAGAAAGCGCTGTAGTTTAGCTTCTCGAGAGAGTGTGGGGTCTTTATCTAGTAATTTAAACTTAGATTTATCGCTAATAATTTTTAAACATGAGCTATTGTATACTTCTCTGTCCATTATGACTACTCCGTTGCCTTTGTCTGGTTTTAACAATATAATGTTCTTATTATTCCTAATGTCCTTTAGTATGCAATGTTTCTTGAGATCTGATGGTGACGGAGTATATGAGGAAATGCAGCTTTGAGCAATGTGGATGAGTTTATTCTTTACGTGGATTTAATCTTCTTGGTTTTGGAGCTTGATTTGTATAGTGTAATGGATCCGTTCAAATGTTGCGAGGATTTCAGCATCGTTGAGCCTTGGAGGTCTTATGGAGAAGTATAGTCCGTTCTTGAGTAGGTCGAGTTCATCAGGTTTTAGTTTATGTGAAGACAGATTTGTGACGGTTTCTCTGTGCGTGAAAGGTAGCGTTTTGTTACGTGTGAGATTCTTTAACTTCTTTCTGTGGTTACATAAGAGTGTGTTTATCTTTTTCGTAATAGTCTTAGCTAGAGCCTTTTCTAGAATGTGCCATTCGACTGTATTTAGTATTGCTTTGAGTTTCGATGATATCTTGTCCATATCATTCTCAAGTTTCCTCTGAATGAGATGAATGATATCATCACATGATCAAGCCAGGAACACAATTTGCTGAAACACATCCGTGTTATCACATACAAGTCAACTACCTACTAATGTACTATTAGACTAACTAAAAATGCGCAAAAAATCGTACAAATTGCACTGAAACATGAAAGATCAACCCAAAACCGAACAGAATCTGTCTTATCGTTACAGATCGCGAAACTAAAATGTAGGAAGTTGCGTATGGATATTATTCTAGTCAAGTTTCAGCAACTTAGCTCAAATTCTGTTTATCAACAAAACAATTTATATGGAGTTGTTGATGCTTACAGGAAATCTTCATTATCATGTTTTATCCATGCACATGATTTGAATGTACTCTTGAAGTCGGAGCCAACAAACTTGTTCATTTTCATATTCCATCCAAGCTTCAGAGAATGTTCCCTTGACTTTAAGCAATAAATCTTGGCGATCTTTTTCCCAAGAAGAATATAATGAAGTCAACTGACTTTGATAAGACTTGTGTGAAAACC